AGCTATGTACAAGTTTTATTATTCACTTCACAATTTCACACTACTACTACTACGGAAAAATTTCTGCTCACTCCCATGGATTTTATAGCTCAGTAACGTAATGACAACACACAGATCTAATTCTTTCACGTTCATCAGGAGTTAAATAATTGAAGGTAGAGAGTTGGACAGATGATAAGAAGCTTATTGAAAATGTCTTGAACTAATTTTAAAGTTAACTAATTAAACATGTACACTGCGCAAAAATAATTCTGTCATCTATATACACACACACAAAATACAGATATAGAGATACATTTGTTTTTTTTCTCTATTTCCAAACCTGCTGTTCTCTTTACAATTTATACATATATCTATTTCCTTACTCTGCCACGACTTGAACCGAGATTTATAATTGTGTTTCTTCTGTTTTATCAACGTAATGGTTGTCTTGCTAAACTTTTATTTCATTTCAAGAAGCAAAATAAATCCGGGAGACAGAATTGCCTAGTTTCCCTTGGAAACAGGTTTTTAACCTCGTTTTATTAAATGGGACAAGCCTGTCGCTGCCCGTTCACACGTGTATGTTTACTTGTACAGTTATTTTCAACTCCAGTTGTTTTAAGAGTGGTCATTCTATTTTTAGGATAGCTAACGAATCGTCTGAAAATAGTTTGATACGAAAAAAGTTTATAATAAGTAATTTAAAGAGGCTTCGTACTTGAACACTTAGACAACAGAGTGTCACTTCTAAAACATGGATTTATGTGAAATAGACGTATATATATATATATATACACATACAGAGGAATACTAATAATACATCCGGTTTAATATATGTTATATACATACGGATATCAATAATCAGGGCTGTCCCGGGCCGGGCAGTGGGATATTCCAAAGCTCACTATAAATGCATACTACTTAGTGAGCTAAAACGGTTACTGATTTTTTTCATGGATTCATGCACAAAATTGTCAACTAAATTTCTTTTATGAAAAATCAGCAAAAGTTAACAAATAGAATGAAAGGGGGGGCAATAATATTACTGACCCCGGGGCCTGGACTGGCTCTCGACTCCCCTTTCAATAATCCAACCGGTTTCGTATCTCACAAGCCGGATTGATTCACAAATCATCCAAAACTTCACATGGATTATTAACATCCAATTATCTAATCATTACACATAACGTTATACATATGATATATATATAGATGTAATTCAGTTACAATTATGAAAGCTGGTTAAAGTTTGTGATAAATACACACATACAGAAACATACACTGTTCTAATGAAAGCTGTACGTGAAGGTATTTAAATATTTACAGACACTAGCAAACTATATATATATAGCAAAATTTGTTTATGAAACAGCCTTTTCTATTATTTTCAAAACAAAGCTATAAACTACAGACATTTCTGCTTCGATGTAAAAGAAAACACATAAATTGTATAACAGAGTAAATATATCATAAGGGTCAATTCATAAAAGAAAGTAGTACCAAAAATGCTTGGAGGTCACACATTCGCCTATCTCTGGGTTAATATTAATTAAGATACAAGTATCGCGGTGTAATGTCACATTGTCAGAAACAACATCTGTGTGGTTATCCATATAAAGGAGCCAGTGCTCATACATTGTGCCCTACATAAAATGCCCAGGATTTTGCTCACCTGCTTCAGAGCAAGGGTCAGTCTGTGATTCTGTTCCTGTAACTCCTGGACAACCTTACATTTTTCTCTTTCAGTCGATTTCAACGACACTTCGTGGCCTTCGAGCTCCTTTCTCAGTTCTGTAATATCTGCCTGCAGCTCCGCCACGCGAGCATCATATTCACTCTCCACAGAGTCCAGTTTCCTTCGCAAAGCATGTTTTTCCTGCTCCAGGAACTGAGCGAAACAAAAACGTATAACATATGAGTAACTTCGTACACAAATATTGGTAAAACATAAGAAAGATAACCACATTTGTTTTATATCTAATAATTTGTTTTTCATTAAACCTTTTTTTCTTTGCGTTTGTGAAAAAAAGATAATGTTCCAAGATAATTCCGAATACAGAATATCAGGAACTAATCAGCAGTGGTTATTTCTCTACAAGTAATATCATAATTTAGAGATGCGAGTTTCGAAATATTCTTTTTTTCTTTCTTTAACATTTGTAAACGCTAAATGACAAAATGTCTTGATTGTAATTTAAAATCATAAGTTTGTTTCTTTGTAGTTGAGCACAAAGCTACACAATGGGCTATCTGTGCTCTGCCCACCACGGTTATCGAAACCCGGTCTCTAGCGTTGTAAGTCTGCAGACATACAGCTGTGCCAAATCTTAAATTTCTCTCTACTAA